AGGAGAGGACCTGCCACTCACTCAAAGGTGCCTTTATGTAGACCAAATATTTAAAGCAAATTCGGTAATCCAGAAAGGCTTAGATCGGAATAAGGGAGAATATTCGTGTAGGAAATAAATCCAAGGAAAAATTCTTTCGTATTTTGATGATATCACTTCAAGTCGGACCACCTGCGTCATCCATTTTCAATTACCTGGTCGTTTATGCTAACCACGTGCAAAATGATTAAGCTCATATGGTTCGCAGACATAATAACAGTGGTTCGAGAACATTGGCATTTCTACGAACGTTCGACTAATGAGCACATTCACCCAAGTGCTCGGTTGGACAGGAATCAGCACAAACGTTATACTTCCTTGCTACTGATAGTCAAGACTATCAATACATACCAGTTACTCATTCTTTCTTTGCATTGTCAACTCTGACTACCATTTCTACATATATTAATAGTTAATTATTGTTCAGTATCACTAAAAGCCCTCTTAAGCCCCTCTTCCCCACTTTCATTTATCCCTCTCCTCTCCTAGAAGATTTTCAGGCGATACTGCAAATTACATTTTAAACCTCCCAATACCAGTCATTTCAGATATGATTACTTGCCATCTTCAATCTGAACCGGAAGCATTTTTCACGACTATGCATATATTGTCTGCAATTACACTCCCAGTAGACTTATTCGGTGTGTACTGTATCGTCAAAAAATCACCGCCATTTATGAAGGATTACTCACGATTACTGCTTGTATACCAAATATGTGCAACAGTAACTGATACATTTACGAATATGCTATTCATACCGGTGGCATTCTTCCCATTTCCTGTTGTCTACCATGCTGGCGTGCTTTTTTCATACAGATATTTAAAATATTCTTATATGTTTATCACATGGTTATGCCTTGTGGTAACAACAATGGGTGCTATTGTACAGTTGTTTGTATTCCGATGGCAGTCTCTGCTTATGAATGATCATCCCCTGCGACTTGATAAAAAATATCTCATTCTCATATGCAGTATAATGTTCGTTGTAACTAATGGTGCTGTAGTGATCGCTGGATTTTCTATGCCAAATCGGCGTGAAGAACTCAGGCCGATCTACATTCAGGTAATGATTACAATGGAATTTAAAAATGTAAACTTGTAGCTATTTTCACTTATTCCACGGCTAGAATTTAGAAAATCTATTGAAGACGGTTTGAGTAGATGGTGATTAGCTGTAAATAAATATAAGCAAGTAGCAATAAGAAGTCTTAAGGGTCATCGTGTATTCTGCCAACCGTTAACCCCACGCCGCCGTAGATTCCGTTGTACATGTAAGTTAGTCAACCTGATTCTATCTACGGCACGCCGTTACTTAAGTTTCGGATTATTAGAAGTTTAAGAAAAGAACGAGTCAAGTGAAGGTAACGGAAAAATGTAGTATCACGCAAGAGTACTGGTAGTAAAGTAACATGAGCTAACTTACCCCAAAGGCCTTAGTATGATACCACTTTACGATTTTTGTAAGCAATCAGCCCTAAGAGCTGGACTGTGCGGTATCTCCTCTTCAGCAGCAGTGCTACCTAGGATGTAGGGCGTTTTACTATTTCCATTGAATCTATGACATTCACGTTACGTTTCAAAATTTGCAATAACTGAATTTACAGCTAAACATTAGTTTTCTGATTTTTTTCGTTGCTCGACACCGTCTTTTAGTAATACCGCAAACCGCAAATTTAATATTAAGGATAGAAAAATAGTGAGGAGCAGTTGCCCGTGAACCTTATAGCATCTCCAGAAAGCCATTCGATGAAGGAACTATCGACTGATTCCAAGTCCTCTCTAAGCGCTGGATTCCCAAACACTGTAGGCCGTGGTCCAAAACCAGATTGCAGTTGAATAAATTTTCTGCCAGATTTGTTAAAAAAAAACTGTTTACGTTTAAGGAATTTTCCTGTATTGCCGAACTTGTGGATCAACCTGGAATACAGTACTTCCTGGCTTATGATTATCGACGGCTCCTTCTAGTTGTATGCGTTGAAGGCTTATTTGTGATTCTGGTTTCGTTTATTCTAGTTTATTTGACGTTCCGAAACTTCCGCTTCACAAATGTCACACAAAAAACAATCGACTTGCAAAAGAGATATCAAAAATCTCTGATTGTTCAGGTAAATCTAGTGTTGTTATTCTGTTGAGCCTACTCCGAATGGAAATTAATTAGTGGTGACTGATTCAAATTAAAGTGAATTCGGAAGTGAGCTTATTCATTACATAGTGACCGCGAACTGTAGAAGGGGACCACAAAATGAAACAGAACTGAGGTACATGTTTTTTTTCCATGCAATCATTATACTAAATGGGTTGTCCGGACCGGTACTTGCCGAAAGTTTCGCTATACTTTGGAATTTTCTGGGGATTTTTCAGATTTTTTCCTGATGTTTCGATGTAAGGGCCTAACTACGCGTAGACGTTTACCAGTAGTTATACGCATTATACGCATTATACGCAAAACATTGGGTAGCATAAACTACTAATCCTTCGAAATCGATGTCCATTTTAGATTGTTGGGAAGATGGAGGATGCAACAAGGTTTGAGACCATTATAGGCAGTTCCTCCCCCTCCCCTCCATAGTAACTGGGNTGGTCTGAAATGGTAGATTTCAGATTTTTTTGGAGATTCCCTTCTAGTGTAAAATGAAACCAGAACCAATTTGAAGCACTATATATTGATTTTTTGATTCTTGTGATTTAAGGTGATGGTTCCTGTCTTGGTCGTAATCGTTCCTGGATGCAGTGTTCTTTTAGTTGGAGCATGGTGTGATATCCTATTAGGTTATCAGTATACATCAGAAATCCAAGGTAATGTTCATTCAACCTAATTTTTTGTCATCAAATCCTTGTAATAATATTGGCTTGACAAGTGTATGATGTAAGGAACACGGAAAATCCCTAGGTAGTTGTCTCGTCGTGCGGCGCGCACTCGTGACTACTGCCTCACCCCTTTCTATCGTAATGCCGTGCACTCCTTTTGGATGAGTAATTGGGCTTGAACGTTGTGCCCTGTTCGTTTTATACTGAGCAACCCTCCGTAGTAATCCTTACCTAAAAAACAGCTCCAAAAACCCAAGTGTTTTAGTGGTCTACAACATAATTTGCTGCATTATATCATGTCACGGACTTTTTGGTACAATTATAATGGTCCACGTTAATGCACCTTATCGGGATTTTGCTCTTGAGTGCATACGAAAAATCTTTCGGATGCGTATGTGCTGTTTGTCCACACGAGCTTACCTTCGTCGCTTATCAGAGGTATACCTTACTGCTCCGAATGTGTGTGCTTTTGAACACGATTGTGATGAAGTCTTTCGCTTTCAGGGTAAAGTTCGAGACAATCGACCGCAGACGACATCTCCTGGAAGCTAATTTCATGGACACGTTCATTGTGATATGTAACGTTAGGTCAGGATGAGACGAATCGCAACTTTGAATCACGAGCGACAAGCTGGCATATCCTCCGCGGTATATGCTTCGCTCATAGCACGCGGCGAACGAATGATTCGCGTTCTGACCTATAGGTACTAACGTCCACCGCACCTTGACTGCAGATTGGTGGATCCATCCGTAACCAGCCAAGTTTTCGGATGTTTGAAGATGTCATCTGATTATAAAGTATTATTGTATCTGAATAGTTCTGAAAATAAAGAAATAAATCTAACACGTCAGACAGAATCAGGAAACGAGCACTAAGACGCCTTTAACCTCGAGTGTCTGCTCGCTCAGCTACCTGCCTGTACCGGTCTGAGCTAGTGAAATTACGGGAGGGATCCTATATGAGTAGTCAATCATCACATTATATGGAGGGTATTGCAGAAGTGTAGGACTGAGGAGCGAAAGAGGTTGACAGGAGGGCTCATGGACCACAAGAAATTGAGGGAGATGGGCCATGTTTGACGTTATGTGTCGTCAAACGCTTCGCGCAATTTCGTGGGTGGAGCATTTTTGAATGTTATTTTCCCCTTTTCCCCATTAATCAGTAACAACAACATTAAGAGACATTTGTCAAAGTTTTGCTGAAAATGTTACCGAATCACAACAATTGCCTATCAGTTGCAAAGCTTCAGCATTCCGAAAATGGGCCCTTCCGAGCACTGCACAAAGAAAGTTGATGTACTAGAAAGCTGTTAAAAGTGGACAGACAGATAAAAACTGAAAACATCCATAGTACTGTACATAGTGAAATGAATGAAGCTGAACAGATTCCTACTTAAGCAGTTATAGTGAAGTTCAGGTGGACTCTATTGGTATAGGGATTATTAAGTGAACCTCGAAATGTTGCTCTGAAAAACTTCAATTCTCAATCACTTTTTGATAAATATTTGTGTAGAGAATCAATTGAAGTTGCACAGCGCTAGAACTCACTGAGAACTGCTAGAAACCACTCGGAAGGACTTGATAGATGCAGCTAGAAATAAAAAAAATTCAAAATCCAATGGTACAGTTGAAATCGATTCAGACAATCAGTCAAAAGCAATACGAGTGCTTCTACATTCTTTTCTACTCCATTTGAACGAAGGGAAAACAATACCAGTTCCACTACTAGCCTATTAACCCTCTTGTAAGTTTGCAAAAGTATGGTAGTACTTATTAATGCAATATTTGTTGCGGACTCCGTTGGTTTCCTTGGGTGGATCGGAAACTCTTCAATGCATGAACCTAGTACCCAAGCGTTTACTAATCCGCTTGTTTATCCGTGGAGTTCATCCGAAAATAAACAATTTTTTCAATTAGTTCAGTGCACGGAGCAATTACTGAAGACAAGCACTCTCAGTATGATTTCTTTACAGAACTTTTTGTAAGAAGCCCCTGAACTTTTGCACGGATCACACAGTGCACTTAGGTGTCAACTGCTTTCCCTCTCTGTAACTTACTTCAAAAAGTGCTCTTACTTGTTTCCCATTCCTTTTATTAATTATTAATTATTTTATTTAATTCAGACACGAACATTCTTTGCTTCTGAAACGCCGAGGCACCAAAGGCAGCTCGTGAATCTGTTTTGACGACATTTTGCTTCAAACAAAGACTAATTCCAAATGATGTTGGTGTTGAGTAATGAAAAAAGGGGAGCGAATCACTCGAGGAAATAGTTCTGAATAGTATAAAAGGGGACGAAGGATCACGACTACATCGAGCAAATCACCAATTTTCTATTTTTCAAAAGTTAATCTACACCTATTAAATCCAACTCATCCCGATCTTCTACATAAAAACGTTTTTTTTAGGATGTTCTCACTTGTTAGTGCAATCTGCCTNCTACATAAAAACGTTTTTTTTAGGATGTTCTCACTTGTTAGTGCAATCTGCCTACTTGGAGTTGTAGCGGCTCAATATGGCAATACAGCTCCTCACCCGCCTCCTCCACCGCCTCCTCCACCACCTCCTCCATTCCCAGTTGTATTTCCGCCGTCTGGACCTGGCCCAATTATACTTCAACCCGAAGTGATTCCTCCTTATCCCGGTAAGTAACGGTTCCAGTCTTAGGATATATGCTGCCGAAGCTACCGATATGTTCACTGGTTCGAATGACAACTTAGTTATAGTAGTTTTGAAATTGGATTCACTGAATAATACTAGCAAATCCATGATATCATTAAGGGGTGCGGTACCTTCCCTCTATACTGATGGCGCAGACACCGAAAATAATTGCAGACACAAGTATAATTAAAATAAAAATAGGGTACTTACTCTGTAAAAACATGAATCATTTAACAATAGTTATAACCAAGCTTTACCGAAAGTGCGCTGCAATTACCTTAAGGTAACCTGATTTCACTATCCTATGTGTCCTTATCTATCATTACTCTATTTTCACCATACATTTGAGTTTATTTACTTTACCAGTTTGTAATGTTTGCTTAATGCTTAATATGTTCCACTGATTTCAATTTGTAACACTTTTCCTATTGTATTATAATTATAGAGCCTCTTCCGCAGCAACAATCTTTCATTCCTGACCCATTTGCAACTTGGCCATGGGGCTACCCCGGTAAGTAACAATGACAATTTCAAAGTATACGGTGATAAATTAATAAAGTTTGTCGGTTTGAATCGCAATGTAATTACAAGTAGTATTTAAACGATTTAGTGAATATTAGCTTCAAAGACTTAATAATACCAAATAATGGATAAAATGTTTTCTGCAATAATGGCGTAGTCTGCTGTTGAACGTGCCCCCCAATTATTCAACTTTTTCACGTTTTTCTTATTAAACTTGTTACAGCTCCATCGCCTCCACAACCCGCATCTTGGCCATTCGTTGAAGTTATACCGACAACTCCGCCCGTGAACCCCCTTCCCTATCCTTTCCCCACCGGTAAGTACAAAGATTTCTACTTTCAACATGT